ACGGGATTACTTTTTTGGGGAAGTAATCAGTAATTAGTTACTGATTACTTTTTTCAAGTAACTTGACCAACACTGCTCGTCTATTCCAGGTAAGGACAACCGCATGCTTCAGACATAACTACAGGACATTCCCACCTATTTATATAGAGAGATATAATCATGTATCCCATTTTTTATCTATAGATGCACCTTTAGTTTGCTTTTTGTCTCTAATGACATCACCTGTTCTACATCTGCACAGAGACAGTGTCCATGTGTTATTCTAATGCTGATTTGCGTTATTTGCAGTTAAGAAAAATATTTTAGAGCTCTTTTTTTACCAACATGGATGATGATACTGCATCTGTTGAGCATCTGTGTACAAAACCAGTCCCATAAAAAACAGTTCTCCCATTTTGGTGTCGAAGACCTTGACCAGTTCCCACCTGACATCATCCCTGTCCAACTACTCTGGATAAACCAGTTTGCTTACTGTGAGCTGGGCCTTATCACACACACAGGTGCTGAGTCTCACTGCAGCCAGAAGCTGGTTGGATTTCTAAAAGGAGATGAATTTAGATTTTTACAGCAGCATATTAATGTTCCTGGGTTGTTGTTTTTTTTAAAATCTCACATTAGTGCCCACATACTATTGAATATGTAAGTCGACCGACATATCGCGTAGGTGACCATCGCCTCAGTGCTTTATGCTGATTTTAGGCAGCAGGCAAAGAGGAGGAGGAGAGCAATGGAAACAAAGAAGAGTAGAGGAGACTGAAGGGAGAAATCTGAGAGGAAACAAGCAGCGCAGACATGGAGACAAAAGAAAGAAGATGAAAGGAAACGAGTGAGAAAGAGGTAAGAGGAGAAGATCAATAGCAATGAATAAAAAGATGGTGCCGTGGTCGGATGAAGCCAAACACAACCGAAACAACACCATCCCCACAGTAAAGCATGGAGGTGGAAACATTATGTGTTGGAGCTGTTTTTCTTCACATTCACAACTTCACCACATTGATGGACCAATGCATGGAGTCATGTAGGGTAAAATCTTGGCTGAGAACCTCCTTTTTCAACCAGAATGACTTTTCCAGCATGACAATTATGCAAAACCTACTGTCACAGCGACGAAGGAGTGAAAAGAAGGACGTTGAGGTCACCATAAAAAGACTGTGCAGCAGAAGAGTCATGTTAGCAAACAGGGGAGA